CATGTGCAGTGTCTTTATTAATATGACATATAACAAGACGGGTGCTATTGAGGAAGTTCTATGATGTGAAGTCAGTAAGTGAAGTTATTTAAGTGATCATACAGATTTCAGATTTCAAAATCAGATTGTTACTGAAAACAGTCAGAGGAGTGTGCAGGGTGTTGCCTCTGGGCAGCAGAGGGAGGAAGGACTCCACGCGCCGTTGACCCCACATGTGCATCCAGCAGCGCTGCGGGGCTCTGAGGGACCGGGGCGGGGCGGGCAGCGGAGAGACTTCACTGCCACCCTCCCGGTTCCTTTTGAACTTGGAACTCTGTTATTGTCTCTTAAAAACAAATGAAGTGAAAACAAAAGCTTCATATTGTAAATACCTGAAACGTCGCTAATTGACTAAGAAACTGGGTACACAGTCTGAGTAGATGAGCGTGCACTCCATCAGTGTCAACATCTGTATTGTCCCTCACTTTATCCAGGGGTCTTTAGCACGTCTGCTGGGAGTCACTTGGGTCAGAATTCAAGTACCCTCAATGGTGGAGATGTCATCAACCTCAGGCCCAACAGACAGAGGACCAAGAAAAACCGAAATCCTTTCAGCAGCTGTAGCATACCCTAACAGGCCTCAGGGAGGAGGAAATGGAATTACATTGTGCAGTAAAACACATCCAGCTATCACGGTATGTTACACGATTTTTTGCAGACTTTGCACCTAATTGGTTGTCTGAAAATTGACTTAAATGTTATTCTGCAGTGCTTTTCAGAATGGAGCAAGATCTCTGAAAAATTACTGCCCTGTGGACACATTTTAATTTTTTTACATTAGACGAAGCTTCTCCTGTTATTGAAGGAATGATATAAGAAACATCAAAAACAGGTTTTGCTGAATTTGAAATGCAGAAACACATAAATGAAATGCCTAAATATATTGGTGTAGATTTTAATATTAGGGGTCAAGGAAAGATAGCAGGCGTTCTTTTTCTGAAATTGGTCATTTAGCTTTTCTGGGAAATAATACTGACTCCGAGTACTTAAAGAATCATATTGGAAGGCAAGCCCTGATCTTACCAGACTGCATTAGTGTGTACTTTACAATGTTACTTGTGCAATGTCTGTATATGTGGAACATGGAGGTGTGTGCACGCAGATGCCTGGTTCTGGAGTAAAGGAAGGTATGTGCAGTGTTTAAGGAAACATGGAATCTAACTTGTTCATTCATGAAATCATTTACACACTTATGTGTATGTTCTAAGTTTTTATTTTCAAATGAGAAATTCCAGATCGATACTTTGCAAAATGAGGTTGAATTTAAAAGTGCTTTGTGCCAAAAATCTCATACCTAATCCTCAGTGCTTTACCAGAATCTATACTGTTGATTATCTCTTTTAAAAGCAGCTCTCCTCTCTAACAGGGTAGATGAAAGAGGAGAGTAAGTGCATTAGTGCTAGAGCCCCTCCCAGGGGGGGCTGGTCACGGGGCCTTTTCCACGTCCCTGCACGTGGGTGGGGGACTCGAGCTGGTGGCTGCAGGACCCCGCCCTGGGCAGCATGGCCACCCCACACCTGGGGCCTTTTGCTGTTGGTAACACAATTCTGAACTTTTAGGATTATACTAGCAATTTTTTTAAATATAGAAGAGGTGATTTTTTTTTTTTTGGTCTTAAACCACATTACGGATTTTATAATGCCCTGCAACTCTAAAGCTTCTTTTTGTTTACACATTTTCTATGTTTTTTTCAGATTATAATTTTAAAATTTCTATAACCTTCAGTTTGTATAGCACTTTCTCAAGAGCTCTGTCAGCACCAAATACAAAGTAATTTAAAGTGATTTTAATATGTAATCATGTGGAAGAGTATACATTTTGTGATTTGGGCAGTAGCTTTCAAACACAGATACATAATTGCATGAACTGTACTAAAACTGGTTGTCATTCATCAATGACTTGTTTTTAACCCCTTGCAAGACACACCTGGTCTTTACAGAATTTAAAAATATGTGAAAATAACTTTTCTTAGAAAGTGTGTCACCAAGTCATTTTTCATTATTTGTACTAAATGCATAATGTTTTATATCTTCCTTTTGTATGTTTTCTCTTTTTAAGTCTGCCATCTGCACCACCCTCATCCCCCTGTCCAGATTAATGTTGAGAACAGAATAGAATTTTTTAGGGCATGTCTTTCAATGGTCAGGAGTGAATGTTTGCTTTTCATAATATTGAAATAATCTGGCATTATCTATTTCAAAGTAATATAAAATCTTTATTTTTATGTCACCAGTTGTCACCACTTCCACTGCTGGCAGTGGGGTAGGTGTTGGAGAAAATCCTGTTCCTGACGTTGGGTGCCCACTGGCAATTCATCTTCCCTTTTCTACTCTCTGGAAATACAGTCCCTTTAATTTTTGCACAAAATATATTTTTCAGCAAACAGTCTTTATAGCAGAAAAATCATACTATATAAAATGTTGTAGTTCTATTTCACATTAATTAAATGTATGTGGGTAAAAGTTTGTTATTTTTCTATATAAAAAATGTAATCTCTGATGATGGTTGGAGTTCCCTTGATATCTGTAATATAATCTTATGTACTTAGTTTTATTTTTTTAAGGAGAACTGGGATCTTTGTTACACGTTTGAATTTTTAATTTGCAATTCTGTATTTTACCTAACCATAATTGGTTAATTTAAATAATTAAATAGGTCCCCAAATCAGCCCCAAGTTACTTTCTCAGTTTGCAAAACCTTCAAAATTGACACTAAATTTTTTTGCCCTGAGACCTTTAATTCTTTTAAATAACTACTAATTTCTGAACCGTGGCTGCTGAAGAAATAAGGCCCCAGGACACTGCATCTGTGCACTGATAGGCTTTTCTACATCATGGCTAGTCCTCGGCTGCGGTGTGGTTGCCTTGTCTCAGAATGCTCAGGATTCCTTTTCCTCTTTCAGTCTGCCTGTTGAATTAATAGCATATAGAATGAAGCAACAGAATTATATTAAATCAGGCTAAATAGTTTCCTTTTTATCTGCCCAAAGTTGACAACACTCATGTACTTCTTCAAAACAAAGTGAAACTAACATTACAAAGAAGAGCCCGTCCCACCATGGCCTGAGCGCATGCTGGTCTGGGTGTCCCCGGAGCTGGCAGTGCTGTGTATAGGCAGGACCACTGCAGGGCCCCTCTGTGCCCAGAGTCCAGGCTGGGCTCTCCTCCAAGATCCTGGACTCAGCTGCAGGACCTGACGTCCCACCTTAAAGACTGTCAGATTTTTGCCTCCTTTTAAACACCTTTCAAATAGTTGACTGGTAACTTGCTGAGGTACTCCCATCACTAGGGTGTGTTTCTCTGGAAACAAAATCAACTGATCAGTGAAAACCTGTCCCACATGCAGTCATCTGGTGAACAAGGCAGTCCTGGGCTGAACTGGAGTGAATGGGAAGGGGAGGATTCCCAGACGCTGACAGTCTTTGACAACTTGAGGAAAACCTGGTTGTCTGCTGATAAAGATGGAACAAAAAATCTTTTATCTTATAGTGAACCTGATGATAGCAAATGAGTTTGACAAATCAAGAGACTTTGCTACAGTTATCAGTAAGAATTAATGTCTCCTATGAGAGGAGAGATTTATGTAAGGTGGACTTGGGCTGGCATTGAAACTACCGTGAATGTCCTCAGATTATAACTGCTTTTTATGAAAAGACATATAAATCTATAAAACCAGTCTGGAGCTTGAGTGTTTTTTTTCCCCAGTGTGAAAAAGTACCTACCTTTTAATGAAAACTGAATGTGATGTATTCATTTCGAAGTATTTGGGGGAGTTGAAGTTTGTGGATCAATAGGCACTAGCAGATAGTCTATAGTTATGCTATTTATACAGATAAAAGAATAATCAATACACTGGTTATCCTTGTTAGTGAAAAAAATATAATCTAAATAAAGGTATTTCATATGTAATAGGAAAAATGCTCAATGCTGAAAAGTTTCCAGCAAAACAGGTACTTTTTAATTATTGAAGACATATAAATTGATATAACTCTCATACAAAAAAACTTCGGAAACATATCAAACCATGAAAATGCATACATCCTTTGACCCAGTAAAGCCAGTTGCTAGGAATTTATATGAAGAAAATCAGAAACAAAGGAAGGAAGAAGCTCAGTGTATATAATCTGTTGCAGTAATAAGCAACAAACTGGAACAGCCTCAATGTTCAGTAGGTGGAATGGAAGGTAAATTGTACAACCACACACACAGGATAGAGGTTTTTAAGTTGAGAATTAAAAGCAAACTTTAAAACAGTATTTTTCTTTTTAAAGGCAAATTACAACATATAAAAATTTAAAGAAATTATGCATTTTGAAAAAGATGACGTGGATGAAGAAAATCAGAGGTAAAAAAGAAAAAAGAAAATCAGAGGTGAAGTCTCCCATCTTATGTTTTCACGTCTTATTAAGAAATACATATTAGGAGTTGCATAAGCCTTTAAGTTCAAAATAATTTGATACAGATGACTGAAAACCTGCTGAATGAAGGTGATGTGATGCAGGGAAGGTTCCCTCCCATCCCTCCAAGCTCACTGCCGGGCTCACAGCAGAGGCGTGGTCACTCAGCGTGTGGTTGCTTTAGGAACAGGCCGTCTGGTCAGCCGAAAGCCCTGCGTGCCCATGTGTCTGTAGACAAAGTCCAGGAGAGAACCATGATGCTTCTGCCCCTAGCCAAGCATTTGGTTCCCCACATGCTCTTATCCACAGAATAGTAAAATATAGATATATAGGAGGTGCTAGATCCTAGTACAAGACAAGAATTCAATCTAAAAACTTCTAGAAAGGTAATCAAAATATTTCTAATTTTAATTGTTATTCACAAAACTAACACCACAGATATTTTGTTCTTCAGAAATAACTATCAGTATCAAATGAGTGATATGTGACATACACAACTATTACCATTTAAGACAGTCCTTTATCCTTTTACGTGATTGTTTACGAGGACTGTTCGGCTTGAACACTAGTTGAATCTGGTGTCGGCGTTCTGCTGCAGCGTTTTGGCAGCAGCTCCTTTAGAATGCTCCAGCAGCTTGATGGCCTTGTCAGAGTTTTCAATGTTCCTGAGCAGGGTCTCTAGTCGTCTCTTGATTTTCTTCTGATCCTCGAGAGCACAGCCGATCACGATGGACTGGAACTTTTGGTCCACCGGCCCTGCAGGCACCTCAGAGGAACACGCGCTGTACAGAGACATCAGGTGACTCCGGGCGTTTCCCAGGTCGTCCAGAAACTTGCTGACCACCTCATCAATGATCCGCGTGGCATGCTTGAGGGACTCCTGCTGCTGGGGACTCCTGATTGTTTCTACTGAAACCTCCACAGTCAGGGTCCGGCCCATCAGACGGTTTGCAGTCAGATTTAATTCTTCTCGTTCTCCTAATCATAAAAAGTTTGAAATATCAATCAACATGAGACACACCTACATCTTTTTCAAGAACACTAAGGCATTTTGTGTGTGAATAAATCTAGCCTGCGAGCACGTATACGTCTCGTAAAGGTATATACTGTTAGCAGTAAGATTAGCTTAGGATGCCAGGGAAGACTTGAGGGCAAGAGGAGCGAGAGGAGGGCCACAGAGGATGAGACGGCTGGATGACATCACTGACTCGGTGGACAGGAGTCTGAGCAAACTCAGGGAGACAGTGAAGGACAGGGAGGCCTGGCGTGCTGCAGTCCATTGGGTTACGAGGAGTCGGACACGACTGAGCGACTGAGCAGCAGTCAGAGTGAAGAGGATCAGCCTGGACACCAGGTGACTGCCGTGGTCGTCGTGTCTGCAGGGGCTGGGGCAGAGCAGGAAGTCAGACACCCTGTGTCTACACGAGTGTGTGCACTAGAGGAGGAAATAACTTTCCTTCTGCCTCTGAGCTTTTGGCTGAGACCCTGTAATAAGACAGATTAACAAGCCAAAAAAAAAAAAAAAAACCAGAAGCTCATTACCATGCAGACTTCATGTATACCTAGGAGACCCCCAGGGAAACAGTAACTTCTGGAGATGGCCCCGGCCTCCATCCTCAGGCAGAGATGGTGGGGAGGGAGGCGTTTCCAGGGCCCCAGAAAGAGGACCACATCGGCGAGGTTTTCGTGAGACTCAGTAGGTGTCCCCGCCGGTGCAGAGGGAGACCCCTCAGAAGCAGCTGTCTCCTTTACGAAGTGTAAATGCACATTTCCCTCACAAAACGGTGACCTCAGCTGTTCCCAGAGCTGCTCCAAAAACGGCCAGCCCAGGATAATCCTTAGGGCAGAGGCACACTTCGGGCGGCACATCCTGTGTGTCTGTGAGCACACTGTTCCGGCTCTGGTGGAGGAAACAGTGCCAAGACCCTGGGAGAAAGGCTGGCCCGAAACGAGGCGCTGACCTCATCCCGTTGGACCAACTCGGCCTGTGGTCTGTCTGAGTCTCAGCCAGCACGAAGAAGGGTGCTGGGTCATCATCTCACTGCTTATTTGGAAATGAGCAATCTGCACCGCTCTGTGTAACCGGCTTCCAAGTTCACTGCTGGTTGGCCAGGACGCGGGGGAGAGACGAGATGCTGACCCACGGCAGCCATGTGACGGTTTGGGTCCAGGCCTGGGAGCGCCAGCCACACGACCCGGGGGCAGTCGGGGGGCACACCCAGCCCCCCGGGGCAGCCCGCCCTTTCTCCCGAAGGGGCTGCAGGCCTGGCCCTCCGCCTCCCCCGTCACGCCTCACCCACCTGCTCCTGTCCTCTGCCTGCCCCCACTCCCTCCACAGTCCCGCCAGGCGGGCTCACCGTCGCTGATCTGCCGCATGTCCTGGCTGTTCTGGATGCTGTGGATCATCTCCAGGAGCACCTCCTTCTCCTGCTCCACGGCTGTGGCTGCCTCCCGCAGAGCCTCCACCCTGTGGGCGGGGAGACCGTCAGTGCAGGAAGCCTGCCCCCCGTCCCCGCCTCTCCTTCCAGCTCAGCTGTCAGGATGATCAGGGACACGCCCCTAACGCTTCACTCCTTTTTCTTTCCTATTCTCTACTTTCCCTTCTTCATCCACTTGCCCCTTGGCTCCTAGTTGCCCCCCTGCTCACAGGGCAAGCATTCAGTTCAGTACTTTTCTATTTGTAGATAAAAATCTGTACTTGTTTACTCGCCTGTTTTCAATTTATTTATATCTCACTGCTTCTTCACTCAGCAGCATATTTTACTAAGACCCGCTGGGTTCCCTTGTCGTCCAGCTCCCAGCTCCCCTCACCACCCACCTGTGACTCCTGTGCCCTCGTGGCCCTGAAGACAGGCCCGACCCAGGGTGCGTCCCCCTCTGGGCTCCCCTCCAGAGCAGCCGCACGGGGCAGCCCTGGGTCCCAGGAGCCCTGCCAGCACTAGGCGTCCCCCGGCCGACAAGCGGTGTGTCAGTACTTAACCTGTGTTTCTTTCACTGCTCATAATTTTGGACATCTCTTTGTATCCCTGTGAGCCTGTCCACAGCCTTTGCCTATCTTGCTCTTTCTTTTTTAAACTGGGGTTACTGTCCTCTTGCGTTATCTCGCATCTGACCCCATATAATCTGCGTCTGGGATGTCCTTCACTGAACACAGAGCCTTATTTTGAAGCGATCAGACCCATCTTTTTCTTGGTTTTGTTCTGCCTCCTGGCTCATGCAGTGACGTTCTGTTTCAGGGTCCTCCCATCCCGAGCTCGGGACACACTTGCCTACATCTCCTATTGACTCACTCTCTCACCTTTCTCATACTCATGTCTTCATCCATCCAGAATCCACCTCTGCTTATGATTAGATAAAGATTTTGTTTTCTTTTCCTCCAAATAGTGAACCATTTCCCCCAACATTACCCACCCTAAATCCATCTTTTCCTCAATGATTTGCAGACTGCCTGCCTCTGAAATCGATTCCCAAGCACCACTTCCCCCAACTCCCCACCTAACCAGACACACATGCACTCACTACACAGACACAGCCAGCGACTAAAGACCGAGGCTGTGAAATCATCAGAGCAAGAAAACAACCGTGTGTGTTTGAAGTGCCGCAAGTAAATAAGTCACCAGCTTACGCAAAATAAATGTGACAGACCCAGCTCCAGTCCTCAGATCAGCCTTAGAGCACCTCCCTGGGCACAGTCATGTTCTAGCACGTGTTCCTGCCATACAAGGGGGTCCCCGCCCCGCCCCAGCCGCACGCGGGCCTCTTCCCCTACAGGCACCCACCTGTTACCCCAAAATAGCACCAACACACTGTAAAGTCACAGGGTTTCAATTCTCGGGATACTAAATATATGCTGGACTCTGCTTGTAAGAGCCAGTGGAAGCACAGAGCTCGTAAGAACCTTGTGTGACAATGTGGCTGAAAGCAGGTGGAGCCATGAGAACTCTACAGGACAGTGACCACGCATCAGGCGGCCTTCCCGCGGCACGCGTGGCGCGCCCACACCTTCCCCACGACACGAAGGGGGTCGGGTGAGCACCAACAAGAAACGGGCGACAAAAGTGACTCTAGTGTTGCGATGGCACCCGAGTCACTGGTGAAGGAGACGATGCTGAAAGAAGAGCTGACTTTTCCAGCACTCCTGAGTTTGTATTCAAATATAAGATGATAAAGAGAAAATTGTTACTCTAAAGAAGTATAAGTATGATAATTTATGATAATAAGTATGATAATTTATAATGGTATATTTGTGGAGTTGTTAGCAAGAAAATGGCTTGAAAGGAGACACTCCTGAAAAAAATTTAATAAATCTGTCATATAAAGATGTTTTGTCATTAAATGAAACCAAATATAGGGGAAATTGGATGGAACTTTTCTCCCAAGGTTAGAAATTGCCTGGCATTTTCCCTGTGAAAAATACTTTTTCTAGCCTTTTTAATATATGATTTTATGTAAGCTTTTCATTTCACAGCAAAGATACAATTCCATTCTTCAGCATGTAGATCCCCAGGGCTTTCTGGTAGCGTGGCCCTCTCATCTGCTGCCCCTCACCTCCTGAACATTCTTTATCCCTGGCCCAGGTCCATTAGGTGATCCTTTTTCAAAAACCAGTCCTTTTGGCAGAACTGTTTCCTTAGGAACTTCTCCTTCCTCTCCCTTGAGTCGTTCAAAACTACATCTGTCTAGTGTATGGACTACATCACAGGCTTAGTTTCTTATTTTAAAAAGCTGGACCTGGGACTCCCCTGGTGGTTCAGTGGCCAAGCTCCCAGCGCAGGGGGTCCAGGCTAGACTGCTGGCCAGGGAACCAGACTCCACATGCTGCAACTGAAGATGCTGCGTGCTCCTGTGAAGGCCGAGGAGCCGTGTGCTGCTGGGAAGGCCCAGGGCAGCCAAACGAGGATTTTCAAAAGCTGAGCCTCTGCTTAGTCTGCTTAGGTCATCCTGGTGCTATTTATCAGCCGTCGGTCTTACATTCAACTCAGTGTGCGGTACTCAGCCGCTTCAGTCGTGTCCGACTCTGATCCTATGGACTGCAGCCCCCCAGGCTCCTCTGTCCATGGGATTCTCCAGGCAAGAACACTGGAGAGGGTTGCTGTGCCCTCCTCCAGGGGATCTTCCCAGCCCAGGGAATGAACCTGCGTCTCTTAGCTCCCCTGCGTTGGCAAGTGGGTGGTTTTTTTTTTTTTTTTTACCACTAGCAACACCTGGGAAGCCCTAAATTCAACTCATATACACATCTTTTTGTCTTTGTCCCTTGCATTAGTTTTAAAACAGTTAGTTACTAAATATTCAAATATTTCCCACCCACCCTTCCGTGATTTTCCTGGAACTTTGCCCACAAGAGCGTTAGCCCATTTCACTTTATCCTTCACCTTCTTAACACACCACTGGACAATGCTCCTTGGCAGAGGGGGCAGCTCTGTTTTTACTAGCGGATCCTGCAAGAGCTATGTGTCCAAATTGGGAAAGAACTGATCCTCACAGCAAGGCTGGCCAGGGCTGTGCTCCTGGAAAACTCTCTGCATGAGATCACAACTAAGCTCACAACTGCAGAGAAACTGTTCGGAATGTTCCGTGAGGACAAAATCTGGAGTGCGTGCCTCCTCGGCTGGTCTCGGCAGACAGACTGCCGCCCAGCAGGCACCCTGTGCCGGGTGCGGGCCCGCTGCTCACACCGGCTCCGCCGCCGCGTCCTAGCTGAGTGGCCTCGAGCAGCTGCTGACATTCTCTCTGCCTCAGTCTCCTCCTCTGACACAGGGATCATGAGGTGGCGGGTGTGATGAATGAGTCAAGGTGGTACAGGGTCAGTCACCTACTGAGGGCAGGGACTAAACTACGAGCCAACAGATGCAGAACTGCCAGTGTGGGGGGCTGCCTCCTACACCCTTTTCTAGAGGAGATCTGAGCATCCCTGGCTTCTGGTACCCAGGGGCCCTGGAACCAATCCCTGCAGTCACCGAGGGACCACCGCGTGCAGCACATGCCCAGAACGGGGCCGTGGACACCGGCTTCTGGGTGTCTTTATGCACTCAGCATTACGAACTCAGGATTGTAAGCAACAAGGCTCCCTAATCATCACCCAAACAGTAAGGAACACTCACCGAGCCGAGGCTTTGGGGTCAGGAGCTAGTCCAGAGCAGAACGGCCTCAGGCGGCCACTCTCCCTCTGGACCTTCATTGCTGCTAAAGGAGATAATCGATGTCCTCCTCCTGCCTTGGAGGGTTTTGAAAGGTTCACATGATACTGTCTGTGAGAAGTGACCTTTTAAATTACAGGCTCTGACACAGTATTAACTAGCGTGCTGTATTCTGGCTCCGGAGGTCGGGTCAGCCCAGCAGGAAATTCAGCTAAAGGCCCCCGGCCCCTGCCCCCGCCCTTGTTCCGAGGCCGCCTGGCGCCCAGGAGGCCCGCTCTGCGGACACGGGCAAGAAGCCGGCTCCCCGTCCTGCCGTCCCCGGGGCTGCTCTCCACACCCCACGGCCCAAGCGTCTTCACCACCACCCAGAGCTTCAGGGCCACTCACACCCTGCAGAGATGGCACTCAACAGCCCCTGATCTAAACCTGGATCTAGGTGGAATTTTCACCTCTTTCAGTAAAATCATATACTATCCCTACACTTTGAAATATGACATACTAACTTAAAAAATTCAGGCATAAAGCATTAAGTTCTACAGCCACTCCTGAGCTCTTTTAACTTCTCAAGCCTCAATTTCCCGCCTGGAGAATGAGGGTGACATAATTCCCATAAAGGCACGGAACCTGTAGAGTCAGGCTGGTTAACTAAATACTTGTTGGAGGGTATCACTTGTGAATTATGATCACGGCTAAAATGGTAACAATCATGAGCAAAGTGCTTGGAGCCACTGACAAATGGAAAAATCAGAGGCCATTTGCACTGGTCATGAAAACCCGTAGAGAAAGACATTACCTTTTTAGGAGGAAGCAAAAAAGGAGGTCTAGTTTCGTGCTAACGCATTAGAAACAACTAGAGTTTCTTCACTGATTTGTCAGATGCCATCAAATATTTGAAAGCACTTTAAACACCGTGGACACCAGTTCACATGACCATAATTCTATTTTCGATTTCATGTGGAGGGACAGTAAACACAGACCTCTAGGTAGAGTCTCTGATTTTCGGTCTGCCTAGTACACTGCTTTATTAGCCACCCTTAACATGAAATTAAATGACAGTATTAGTTAAGGTAACACATGAATGTTTCGTCTTCTTTTTAAACTTGATCTTCTGGGCCTGACTCTAGTTTCTGACAGTGCAGTGCTCTCTTCCATGACCCATGTGCCTTCATAAACTTCTCTATTTTTACTTAACCTTCCAAAACACTTCCTTAACTTTCTGTCAGCATCACTTTTTTAAAAAGAAAGAAACAAAGCTCATCAGTCTAAAATTACTAGAAGAGTCCTTACAATGAACAACTGAACACATAGTTACCAGTCTCAGCTCAAGGGTTAATTCAGCAAGTGCTTAACCACTTGGACACGGTAATCAGAATTCATTTCACATTAAGGAAGCCCTAGAACACAGTATTTCAGACAAGAAACTTCCTCTTACAGATGAGTGCCTGCCCTATGTGAGGCATCAACTCAAGTCTCAGAACAATAACCCAGCTTCAAGAAAGGAAGCCTGGAAGAAAACATCCTTTCCTTCCAACTAGGGGAGAGCCCCCCTGAAATGGCTGAGAACATGCCCTCAAAGTTCTTGAGGCCAGAGACGCTGAGTCACTTGTTAGGCTGCTACATAAAATCATCCCCAGGAACTGCTCTCGCTGTTCCACCTGCTTCAGCTGGAGAAGGGCCCTTGTCACTCTCTGTGAAATCCTGGCGGTGGTGAGTGTCTCATTTTCTGAGAAGACGCTGTTTCTTTCTGTACTAATATACTAAAAAGAACTATACAATAAATGACAAACGTCAACATAAATATTAATAAATGATAATAAGGGCCTCATTTGGTTATTAATGTACTTTAGACTGTCAAACAGACCCCTCGTCCTGTTTTGAGATAAAGACACACACGCAGCCCTTCTTAAAATTTTGTCTTACATATATTCCTTTGCTCACTCAGAGTCTGGTAACTATGGGAAAAACTCCCTGTGGTTTTAGGGAGTTTTGGACGCCTTGGTAAGATTTGCCTGTAATTAACACCTGCACACAATTTACACTAACTTCAGTGACAATAAACGGCCATTGGAAGTACACAGGAGTCTTCATTCACTGTTAGAGGAAAAATTAATTCCCAAATTTCTTACAAATTATTTAGGAATCCCATACAAGCCGGTGACTACATTTGTCACTAAGGAGTGTCCCAGCACCGGCTTCTATAGCAATTGACAGCACAGCCTGGAAAGAATTTAGGGAAAGAGCCGGGGTGAGGCACTCTGTGCTCTGGGAAAACTGGCAAAACAGGCTCTCAGTTTTCAGGAAAATCTAAGGAACTCAGATTCCTGCAACTTCCCAAATTAAGAAAAGCACTAAAAGCCTTAAGGGAGACAGAACTCCTTCCGACCTCTGCGTGCCTGACCCCGGGCCCTGCTCCAAAGTCACATCCTCGCTGACCTCGGCCCGACCCTCGCCACCAGGACCTCCCTCTGCGCGCTGACCGCCGCGGACACGGCGACCACATGGACACCCCGCCCGCGAGGGAGCGCAGCGGCTCGGGCTCTGGCCGCCAGCCGGCTCTGGAAGGTGGGACAGCGCCCGGGGAGGCCGAGCGCGGCTGGTGGGGGGGACACCTGTCCGCTGCTCTCGTGCCTGAGGCCAGACGGATTTTTCTGTTTTGCGAAGAGCTCGGTCGCCCAGCACGGGAACCACTAACCGGCCCCGGTCCTAAAACCGCACGCGGCGGGGAGTGGGCCGGAAACATCTGGCCCCACGCGGAAGGTTCTGGAAGCCCCGCGGCGGCACAGCCGTCGTCTCGAGTCACGTCCCCCCAACCTCCTCTCCTTGGGGTCTCGCGGTCCCGGCGCTCGGGGCCGCCGGAGGGTGGGGGGCCGCCGCGCCGACACAGCGCCGCGCTGCCCTCCGCGGGGCCAATGCTGCCCCGCCGCTCCGCCCTCGTCCCCAGGTCCTCGCCCACCGCTCCGTCCCCGCGCGCCCCCCGCCCCGCACACCTGAGCTCCAGCTGGTCCAGGCTCTCGAGCAGGCGGCTGGAGCGGTCGGCCATGGACGAGGAGCGGCAGAAGCGGCCCTCGTTGGCCTTGGCGCTGATCCTCGCCTGAGCCATCTGCGCCGGGCGGGCGGCCCGAGGTCACCGCCGTCCCCACGCGTCAGCCGTCTCCTCGGACGCGCCGCCCGCAAACCCGGAGTCGGGGGCCGGGGCACCCGGGTGAGGGCGCGAGGGCTTGGCGGCCGGGCTCCGATCGCGCGTGCTGCCTCGGGGGCGGCGCGCCGGGGCGGCTTCGCGTGGCGCCAGGCCCGGCCCCCGCCGCGAGCACGCCCCGGGGCGGGGCCCGCGCCATCCACGCCCTCGCCCCGCCCCGACCCGCGGAGGCCCCGCCCCCAAAAAACGGCCGGGGCGGGGCCCGCGTCAACCACGCCCCCACCCTGCCTGGCCCGAGGGGGCCCCGCCCCCGATCACGCCCCGGGGCGGGCTCGCGCAAGCCCCGCCCCACCCCGCGGAGGCCCCGCCCCGGGGCCTCCTGCCGCGAGGAAGGCGTCCCTTCGCGCAGCAGCGGTTCCCGGGCACCTTCCCGAGGTGAGAACCGGAGTCTGGACGCCAAAAGCGAAGCCGACAGAGCAGAAGACAAAAAGCCGCCCTATTCAGCTGCGTGTAGGGGGCAAGGTGAACCTCATCGTTTTCATACCCACTCTCATGAAAGCATTTGTAATGACTTCTCTGTTTAAAAGTTATTGGTTGGAATTTGAGTGAAATGATTGCTATTTAAGGCCGTTTCAAGCCCCATTTGTATAAACCTACTGTTGAGTGAAGACCATGGAGGCCGCTCGGCCACCGTGAAGGTCAGGGAGTTGAGTGGTGGCGGGGCAGGAGCACACTTGACTTTGCTCGCCTTTCCTCGTGGCTCTCTGCCCGCAGTAGGCGGAGGGGATAATAACAGTTCAAGGCTGGAGCCCAGCCTTTAATCTGAGATCAAAGTCGAGGTACTTGAACAGAGATGAGGCCCTAAGGCTAGATCCCAGTTCCTCTGAACTCTAATTCACAACTGCTGCAAGGGATCATCTGGCCTCATTAGACATTTTATCGTATCCTGACAAACCTGGAATCCTTAGACATTTTGTGAATGGTCTGAAAGTCTATCGTGCTGGCCTCTCTCACACCTCAGACTCAGTGGACTCCAACTCCAGAGAATACCCAGGCCCGCCTTCACTCCCACTGGGCCAGCATCCCAGCCCTGCCCTCCCATCTGGTCTGGTGCTGTTTGCACCACTGTCTGTGCTCAGCTCAGCAGCTACAGTGATCCAGAATAAGGCACAGCACATCACTCCTCAGAAACCTTCAGCGGCTCCTGAAGCCAAGGCCTTCAGAAGAGGCCTCAGAGGACTCTTGTCTCCTGCTGCCTGCACAGCCTTCTTACTTTGCTTGTCTGGATAAGCTCAGTCCCTGCCTCCAGGCCCTTGCTCAGGTTTACTAAGGCCCCGACCGCTCTAGTACGAACAGCAAGCCACCCCCGCCCCGCCCCCCGCGCCAACACCGGTCCTTCTCGGCTCATTCGTGCGGCTGTTTCCCTCCCCCTCTCAGCACTGCCCCAGGTGTGCGCCACTGAGGAGGTGAGGGCTTCGCTGTGCTCACTGATGGATTTCAAGTGCTCAATAAATACTTTGTGAGTGAAAGAATAAATAGTTTAAAAGAAATTTAAAAGAAAAAAATTGATGGAAAAAAGGAAAGCTCTTTAAGTTGAGGCCTATGCTATGGAGTCTCTGCTCGCCCTGCCCAAGGGAGCCCAGCAGAGTCCTTGCACCTTGTTCTTGGGAGAGGTCTGAGTGGCCCAATGGTCAGGAGGACAAGGAGTAGGAAGAAAGGGTTGGGCTGGTAGGATACCAAGCATCCAAAAATAAAGTCTTTAACGGAGGAACTTTTATTTAAGACAGTCAATGATACCACCAACCAGATGCTATCAGTACACTACCTATATATCCTTTTTAAAATAAACATTGTCATTCATCATTTCTTTGACAAAAGCAGTTATTCAGGTATAAAAAGGCATCACAATAAAAACTTTTTAAAAGAAAAAAAACCTATCACAGTAAAATGAAAGACGAATAAAAGCAAACAAGCATCGTTGTCAGAAACATTTACTCTTCATAATATTCCCCATTACTCTGTGTAACATCCACTCTCCTCCATATGTCTAAGTTCAAATTATGAAGTAATTCAAAAATGAGTTTTAATTTTGTAGTAAGCAGAAATACAATCAGTGACAATTATCAGAACACTAAGCAACCCAATGACCTTATTTTAAGGACCATGATGACTACCCGTCCCCCACTGTGTCACTCTGGTACCATCACACCCCATGAGTGTCCCAGCAACACAGCTGCCCCTGCCCAGCAGGCGCCTCCAGCACAGCCATCTCCTTCTGGACACCCGTTCAAGCTCCCACTGCTGAGCAGGCTCCCCAGATGTCTTTAAGGTCCAGCTCTGTAACCACCTCCCAAAGCCTTCAACTACCCTACCAAACTAAAAGTACAGGGTGCTCACTTTGGAAAAATGACGAGGACATTCTCAAGCTATGACGTCTACTTAAAAAGCAAGCAGGGAGACAGAACTGACAGCTTAAGAAAGAAAGAACACAAACTGGTTTCCAATGTGGACTGAAAAGACTGTAATATAATAAGAATAAGACAAGTCACACTATGTAACACTAAATTATCTAGCTGCAGAGGAAGACCAGAGTTCTAGCTATGATTTTTTTTTTTGGTCTTAAAGAAAAATTTGTATTTATAGAAAATTTTAAGTTTGGTAAGTAACTACTACTCAAAACTTTTAGGGATGACATTTCTGGTCAAATAACATGAAGTATATTCAGAAGTTTGTATGACAAGCCCCTTCTTAGTCTTCTAATTATATAACATTTTTTATTATTCATCATGAGGCTTCAACATTTAAAAATTAAATATGTAATACCAACTGTAGGAAACTGACATTTTAATGAATAACTAAAATGAAGATACTTCCATATGAAATAAAAATTTTAAATGGTTAAGGAAGATTACTCCTGAGTAGACTTTCAACATTATTTTCTAAAGAATACTATGTTTACACAAATATATACATATATATAAAAGGACTATTAAAAGTATGCCTAATTCTATGCAAAGACTTTTACATCATTCCCTTTAAACAGTAATTAATACAAGTCATATGAAAGTCAAAGTAGGTAAAAAGAATGGAAAAAGTTTCTTTTTACTACTTTCAAAGAAATTAGGTTGGTTTTCTTTTTCATTCCAGCAATGCACAGCTCTAATTAAAGCAGGACTATACATCTGAGTGAAAGCCACAAAGAACATTGCTGATAAAATTTTTCATCTGTTTTCACCATCAGTTTCCTTTACTCTCTTCTAATAATCATAAAAAGACCTCAAAGATAATATATATTAGTGCCACATAGGAAGTAAAATTTACAGAAAAAATGAGCTGTGATAGCTTTATTTATATTCATTTTCACTCTTAAAAAAAATAAACTAGAATCATCTGTACAGTACAAATTAAAGAACCAGTTCTATTTGGGAAGCATATAGACAATCGTCAAGGGCTTCTTTATTTCTTTTTTTAAAATCATTTTAACCTAAGTATATGAATTCAAGGTTACCTGGGAAACATGATACCTATATTAGAGTATATGATTTGTATTTGCATTAACATATATTCTGTTCCTCTGAACATTTTTGCAAATGGCACAAAAACACAAAGCAATATCAGAGTTTGAACATACAAAAGCAAAAACAGTGTGTTTTCAAATACATTTGTACTAGTAGATTTCTGGTCTCCTTTAGAAAACAAACTCAAGAATTCATCATCCTGAGTTCTCTTCAAGGCCACTTGATGTTGTGTGGTAATACCTTTAGTTACATTTCCTGAAGACTTCTTCTAATAGCTTCTTCTAATTCCACATCTGCATTAAAAAAGAGAATTTTAACATTTACGGCAGAAAACTGATAAAAATGTACTTAATGTAAGTCTCATCAACTACATCTGTATTTTCAGGAAGGAAAGGAAATACAACTTGGAGAAACTGAGGATAACTTGGCAGTTTCTTCATCATAAAATTTGACTGTTTTGAAATATGAGAATCTGGATATGATCTTAAGCTGAATTATAATATATCTGAGCTTAATATGCTAAGAAACTTAGAAGTTATTTCCATTTAGGGACACAGAAAGACAACAAACTTCTAGAATGACTGACAGGTAATCACCAGACTCAACAGGGGAAAAAAAGAGTATTTCCAAAAAGATTTGACGTAATAAATATAAAACTTACCAGTGGAAAAAGAAAGGCAAAATCATGAAATGGCAAAACCTCAAAAGCTATTAAAATATTAGTTTTAACTTTTCTAGTATCTAAGACAAAGAGTCAAATTCAAGGCTATATAATATCCTCTGAGAAGCATTTATTATATATACATATGCACTCACTGAATAAATTTATTGAATGCCCACTGTATACCAGGCACAAAATACAACAGTGAACAAGACAGACATTCTTGGGTTCACTGGTCTTTTTCTCCATTTCCTGAGAATGATGCTAAAACTTGGAGGGTAATTAGGCGTCAGTTTCTTGGCCTCCACTAGCTTCTCGCACCAGGTGTATCTAACCCTGCCCAGTCCACGGTCTCCCGGGGTCTCCTGGGTTCACAGGCACAGTGATTCCTCTAACATGCAGCCACCCCTCCCTATGAGCTGGGGCACTAGTGTTACATCGTCAGGAATTTAAAACACTACAAGCTACTCTGTGTGAAAGCTAGATTCTAGGTCAATGCATTGCCCTAAGATGAATTCAAAGGGATGAAGAAATGTACAGAAAAGCCAAGATGCTCTTAGCAAACAAAGAAGAAAAAGGTGACAAGATTTGTTTTTATGAAAACTTATTACAAAGTTATAGTAATTAAGAATGTGGTCCCAGTGCAAGAGGGTTTCCCTGGGGACTCAGCAGTGAAGAATCCGACTGCCAATTCAAGAGATGCAGGTTCGATCCCTGGGTCGGGAAGATCCCCTGGAGAAGGAAATGGCAACCCACTCCAGTATTCTTGCCTGGGAAATCTCAGTCCATTGGGTCAGGTAGCAAAGAGTCGGACACGACTTAGTGACTGAACTACAACAAACCAGTCCAAGAACTGGTGAACAGATCAAAGAGGCAGCACAGACAGCTCTATGGAAACCTGACCGATGACAGAGGCGGCCTTGCAGAATGGTGTGGCAAGGTGGGATTTTAAATACATGATGGAGGGACAACTGGTAGGCCATATGGAAAAAAAATAAATTTACCCCTACCTTATGGAAAATAAAAAAATACATTTCAGATTTACTGTGTGTTTACTGTATAAGAGCAAAGGAGAAACACAAAACAACAAAGGTGAAAACAAGAACATGGGAATATGTTCAGGACCTTAGTGCAGGGAAAGATTTATTAAACAGGATTCAAAAACATTATGAAAAAGAATGGCACTTCAGGATGCATTAAAATTACTTTAATCCATCAAAAGTGAGAGTGTAAAAAGACAAGACATAAAGAGAAAATATTTGTAATACACACATCTTACACCTAGAAAGATTTTCAACTCAGAAAAATCAGTAAAAAGGTAAGTCAAAACTGTCAAGAAATCTGCAAAGGCACTGGCAAAAGATGTCAAAATGTCAAGTAAACATTACTCATCAGAAAAATGTAAATTCAAACCACAAAAAAATGCCTATCACTAGGTAAAATTAAAAAGACCAATAATTCAATGATTAGTGAAAACGTAGATCAATAGGAGCTCACAGTAACTACTGGAATGAAAAAAAATGGACCAACCACTTTTGTAAAAAACCTTGCCATAATCTACGAGAGCTGAATGTCAACAAGTCTCCACCTCAGTATATATTCCTAGAAATGTGGGAATTATTTGCAACAGCCAACCAAATGTCTATAAGTGATACATGAATTGATTTATGTGTAAAATTATCATACAGGTACTGGAAATGAACAAACCAAAGCTACATGCTAACAATCAGATGAATTTATGAAACAATGTTAACCAAAGGCATTCAGACCCAAAGCATCAGTAATACCGACCATGACTGTGCTGTTCAGTATGATGCACACTGACTGTATGTGGCTATTTGTGCTTTAATTAACTGAAATTAAGTGAGGGGAACTGATCTAGGGAACTGATCACTGTGGGCTGAAGTGTGCCCCCTCAAGATATGTCCTTACCGTGGTACCTGTGAATGTGACCTAATTTGGAAATAGGGTCTTTGTGGGTGTGACCAAGATGAGGTCATGAGGGTGAGCCCTAATTCAACATGACTGACGTCCTTATTGGAAGAAAACACCACGTGAAGATGGACACTCAGGGAGAAGATGGCGCCAGGACGGACGGAGAGACACACAGATGCATCTACAAGCCCAGGAATGCCCACTGTAGGGTAAGGGGGTCAGAGACGGCGAGGTTCAGAGAAAGCGCAGCACTTCACAGGAACAGATCGCCTTTAACGTGGCGAGAGGGGCGGCGTCCGAGTAGGAGCTGCTGCACCAACCCAGGAAAAGAGGAAGTATATACAGGCATGTATGTGGAAAGCTGCTGTCTTAAGGGGGCCTGTTCTCCAAGGCTGTTCGGAGTATTATAATACTGGGGCAAGGAATTTTGGAGAGTGGCCAGAGGTTGGACCAGCTGGGAGCTGGGTGTAATCAACCTAATGTCCATTTTTAATTTGGGTGAGAGTTCTTTGTTTTGCAATAGAATGGTGGGGAGGACCAGGAGGGTCCAGGACCAGGCTACCTCGAGCCATGCAACTTTCCTTCACCTACAGTTGACATTAACCACCAGACTCTGGGAGCAGGACCACGGCCCTACCAACAGCTTGACCTGAGATGGGTGAACTCGACAACTGAGAGACAAGCCACCTAGTTTGTGGCACTTAGGTGAGCAGCCCCAGGAAATCAATCCGCTGGCAATACTCTTTTTTAATCTGAAAGATGGTCACCTGTTTTGCGAGATGTTTTATACAATTTCTGTGTGTATTATATACACATATACATACAGAGAGAACCAGAAATCTGGAGGACCAGCATATAAGTTGGGGAAAAGGATCAGAGCTGAAGTGTTCCAGAGTCCATTTATTGTTTCATGGAGGCAGACAACATGTACATATACTTTACTCTTTAATTTACATATAAAAAACGTGATAAAATGCCAAGGTAACCAGAAAGAACAGAAACAAAGACACAGCATACACACCAATTGGAAAAAACAAAAAGAGGAAGCTAAGAATGAAATAGCAGAAGTAAATACAAAAACATTAACATCTACAGTGAACTTACAGGAATTAAACTTGCCAGTTAAAATGGATAAAAACGAAAGCAACTAAATGTTCCACTTCCAATAACAGTAGAGTAGCTTATATTGGATTAATTCTCCCCTAGATAACAATTATAAACTATTTTAAGGCACTAAAGAACAGCAAAAATCAGGTAGAAACAGGACAGAAGTTAATTATTGAAATAAATGAATTACACAGGGCTAAATATGCAGCTTTACATTTTATTTTGTTCCTCTTTTGCCTTAGGGCATGCTTACATCCCTGGGAAACCAGACTCAAACTGAGGAGTCAGAGACAGATGACAGAGAGGGTGCGAGGGGGAAATGGCGGCAGCAGGGCAGGAACGGCAGAGAGAGATCCCAGCAGAAATGAGAAAAGTAATAGAAGAGAATCCTCCAAATCTACAAATCCTTGGTTGACGTCTGAACTCTGCATTCACGAGAGAGGACCCAAGATTGTCGGTGAGAGACAGCAGTTGGAAAGCTAAGAGAAGCAAGCGGCTGCTGCCTGCTGTGGCAGGGAAAGAGCTTGGTGTCCGAGTCCAGCGAGTTAACTACCTACAAGAAAAAAAATCCTCAGAGGAAGTGAACAGAATTCTGAGAATCTATAATTTACATCACAAACACCCAGCATACATAAAAATCATGTGACTTGCAGATAAACAAGAAATGTGAGGCACAGTCAAGAGGAAGAGCAGCCAAAGGAAACTGGCCCCCAAGATAATCAAGCTCCTGGAATTAGCAGAAGAGAGATTTAAGAAAAGTTAAAAATATTTTTAAGGACATAAGGTTAAGTGGATAAGAAATCTCAACAGAGAAATAAAAACTATTGAAAAGAAAACTAAGCAGAAATTCTACAACTGAGAAACACATGTTTGAAATCGAAAATTTACTAAGTCGGCTTAACACTGGAGGTGGTAAAGGTTGAACAATAAACTTGAAGACTGAACTATAGAAATCAAATATGAAGAAAGAGAAAAAATACTGGAAGAAAATGAAAAACCTGTGGATAAATCTAAACCATCTAACATGCATAACTGGAGTTCCAAAAGAAAAGGAGACAGAAAGTGGGACAAAAAATTGTGAAGAAATAATTGGGGGAAACTTATAAACTTACAGATATATGAAGCTAAGAAAACTCTAAGTAGGATACAAAGACAGCTACATTTAGGGACATTATCAAAAACTGCTAAAATCCAAGGACAAAGAGGAAATATTAAGAGCAATAAGAGGAGAAAAATGAGGTATTTGCATATAGGGGAGTAATAACAGAAATCATGGCCATTTGTCATGACAAAGAGAGGAGGCCGGCCACAAGACAAGGAAATGGAGCTCGAGCTCTAAAGTGCTGAAGAAAAACACCGGTTAACCAGAACTCTAAAGCCAGAGAAAATATACTTCAAAATTAAAGGGAAATAAAGATACTTTCACAAATGAAAACAGAGCATTTAGCACTAGCAAAACTGCATCACATTAATATAAAATAGGACAGGAAATTCTTTAGGCTAAAAAAAACAGAACATCAGATGGAAATTGTAATCTAGTGGAAAGAATGAAAGGTCATTTGAAATGGTAACTATGTGGATAAATATTAA